CACGAGAGATTAATTAGAACTGGTAATAAGTTTTGTCAACATAGTCCAATTTCTGTTAACTTCGGCCTCTGGAAAAAAATTAACCCCCGAAAAAAAAAGGGGAAAAAAAAAAAAGGGGAAGTTTTTTTTTTTTCCCCCAAAAAAGGGGGTTAAAAAGAATTTTTTTTAAAACCCCAGAAATTTTTGGGGGGGGGGGGCCCGCCCCGGTGTTGGGGGGTTTTTTTTTTTATGTTTATTGCCCCGCTTTTAAAAGGGCTTCAATATTTCATTTTGAGAAAGCAAAGATGATGCCGGGAGATTCAGCAAAATTTTTTAAAAAATAATTATTCCCGCTGGGTTTTCCCGATTGTGCCAATAACGGTTTTCCGTCTCTCTCCCTCTCTTTCGTCTTCTCCCGCTCTCTCTTCGTCTCTCCCCCTCTCTTTTTCGTCTCTCCGCCTCTCTTCGTGCCTCTCCGCCTCTGCTTCGTCTCTCCCCTCTCTTCGTCTCTCCCCCGCTCTTCGTCTCTCCCCCGCTCTGCGTCCTCCCGCCGCTCTTCGTCCTCTCCCCGTCTTCGTCTCTCCCCCGCGTCTTTCGTGCTCTCCCCCGCTCTTGCGTATCTCCCCCGCTTTTCGTCTCTCCCCGCCAGTCTTCGTCTCTCTCCCCGCTCTTCGTCTCTTCCCGCCGCTCTTCGTCTCTCCCGCTCTTCGGTACTGCTCTCTCTATCTGTCTGTCTATCTCTCGGCGTACACATTTAGTTGCAGATCTGCAATGTCTGCCTGAGCAGGTAGCAATCGAGAGAGCGGGACAGCAAAAAATGTAATAAAATGTTCAAGGACATTAGGATATTAACGTTGTGAGAAAGCGGTATCTTTGAGGCTGTATCTCTCAAACTTTTAGCTGTTTTAAGTCTACGAATCGTGTTTGGTTTCAGTGAGTAATTTCAAATATATAGTAAAAATTCCTTCGCGTGTGTTGTGCGGGTTGCGAGTGTATACATGAATATGTACGTTGTTTTCTGTATTTTCGTGATTTTTTTCGATATTTTATATGTTATTCTGCTGTTTCGGAGCGCAGGAGAAGAATCAACAAATCATAGATAATTTAAATGTGGTCCTGGCCGGTTCTTGGGAGCTTTATAAATGGTGTACACTACGCGCGACTTTGTTTGTGCTTGTAACTATATACCTATATATATATTTATATATATATTATATTTATATATATATTTATATATCATATAGTATAGTATATATACTAGGTATAAGGGTATATATATATATATATAAGCGATATATATATATAAGCGATATATATATATATATCGCTTAACATTTTTGTATTTATGCAATAGGCTTTTTTGAAAGCATACTTTGACCTATTTAATATATTTTTGTTGAAATTAATATTTCCACACATTTTCTGAGTCCACAACAGTTGACATTAACAGACGTTAACATTCCTGTTATTTGTTTTGCACATCCACGAAACTTATTGTGCCCGGTCGCAGAATCGGAGTGCGGCCTGTTCAAACCCAAGAAGTCGAGCAAAAAGGACGCGCAGACGGTGCAAATCTTCAAGAGCGACGTGTTCCCGCAGCAGGTATGGCCTTCGTCGTCTCTGACGTCGGCCTACCTGTCGATTCAGCGGCTGCACTCTGAACCGGAGAAGATTATCTCCAGCGCGTCCCTGGCGGAGAATATCAGGCCGGTGGTCCGCTTCGCGTCGCCCTTGCAGGCGCGGTAAGGCACTCGTGAGGGAGATTGATTGATTAGAGATTCCGAGTACGTCAACTGTTGAAGCAACTGCTTAGTCCCTCAATTGTAGTGCATGTTTTTTTATCGTGGGAGGTCACGCTTATCTTCTCCCACTGGATGGTGAGATCCGGCGCCGACCTACCGTCGGCTAGCGGGATTTTCCCCAACTAGGTATCTCCCAACAACGGGGCACCGTCCCTGCCAGGACAAGCTTCAGACGGTCTCCTGGCATGTGTGGTTGTGAAATACACGGAAGTGTAAGTGTACGTACACCGAAAAAAAGAACCGTTGGAGTATACCGAATCCATGATACTGTAACAAGTTTCCTTGTTACAATATCATGGATTTGGCATACTCCAACGGTTCTTTTTTCGGTGTAAGTATGGGAGGATAATAGGATAAATAACGGAAAGGAAAGTGGTGTCAGCTCCATGGCCCGTTTAATAGGGTCCGGCTCCGATATTCGCCTGATGTTGATCGAAAAAGAAACGGAAAACTATCAATCTAAAAAAACAGTATTCTAGTAGCCGTCCACTAGAATTCTCCTCCATACAGTGTCTAAAGTCGAGCTAGCACAGTCAGCACTCACTCTCTAGGATCTCCCGCTCAGAGGCATTGCACGGACAATATTTGAGGCTCTGAACTAGCTAAGTCGGTCATCAGGGGAATTCCGTTGGCTTTAAACTCTAAGGAACATTCACAATAGCAGCAAAATTTATTCCTAAATCCTCTTTAGCCTCCTATATTTTGTGTATGATGTCGGGTCAAAAAGTCTAGCACAAGATCTCGCTGGCTGTCTGACTGCATCTGCCGGTTGCACCGCGCGGTTCTGCTTTAAATCGCTTGCAGCTTGCGCTAGTCACGGAGGTACAGTTCCGAACTTCCTAGTTCACCTATGGGCGAATACTGAACCCAGTCGCCATGGGGCGGCCTTGCCGCGGGGACAGCTCGTGCAGCCTTGATGCGGACGTGCCCTGGTCTGATGGCCTGGCATGGATTTATATATTGCTGCGATTCTATAGAACATACTCGGCCATCTATACTACTTCGTGGTCTTTGCATACAGTAATTTCCATATTTCCGGTCCTTAAAAAAAGGTTCTGGCGGCAGGCAATTCAAAACTGACTTGCAATTTTACCATGCTGTGCATTTGTGATTATGCTGAAAAAGTAGTTTCGCCCGATGCTCTCGCCTACCAGTGCAAGCAATATATGGACACGCAAGTAATGTCGTGCAAATAACAGTCGTGTTTTATTGCTACTCTCCTCGTACATATAGTATTTTGCGACGTTTGCATTATTATTGTACATTAGTATCGAATTTGTGTGAAGTGGCTGTGATAAAACGTGGTGAAGTACCAGCCATTAACTCATTTCACGTAAACAAAAAAATCAGGACAATGACGGAACACGTCTATCGGAATGTTTTCATTGGATGCCGGTGCATGTGCAGTCGAATACCGGAATTGTCGTGTTATGTTTTTCAAATTCACGACTTGCAAAAACTTTTTATTAAGTCTTCTTAAATGGCCGTGTTTTCCAGTACGCTAATTCGGCCAAACACGGAACCACTCCGAGCACCTACTCTTCGATTAAAACATGGAGTTGTTTGATACTTGGTCAGCTGAGACGATTTCATCCAATCGGAAGCTTCAACTGACGTCACTGTAATGACGTTAAAGTTCTGGATTCCATGATAGAGTCGCAGCTGGTCAAGGACTTAAGAGGAGCCAGAATGGGCAAAAATGATGAAAATAGATTTTTAAATATTTTTTCCGCTTTCGTTGTAAGAACTAGTTTATAACTTGCTGCCTAATGTTACACAGCGCTTCGGGTAACAATTGAGGGGTTGAGTAGCGTCAGAATATCGGAGTTTGTATTTGCCCAGCATACGAACCAGGAATGCACTGAAAATGTTAGGAGCTATTTCCTGTAAGTTTATAATTTTCATCTTTAGGGAACATTTTCTCAAAAACTACTAATAGGAAGATGCTCAAATTTTAAGAGCACGAAATACGCTATTTATATACTTTAACGAGGCCAATTTATAAAATGTTAAATATTTTAGACAATATGATTACAAATGTTAGCATTTTTAAGTACAAAACCTATTACAATGGTCAAAAATTTATATTTAAAAAATGAATAATATTTTTAAACGACTTCGTTAAAATACTTATAAATAATGAATCAACACTCATACAGAATTGCAAGCCTGTAAATTAAATAGTCCCTTACATTATCATTGGCACGGCAGGCCATTCCGGGTTCCCTAAACGTTTCATTCGAAGCACAAGGCGTGGAGCGCGCGTAGGCCCACGCCTGGCCCTGTACGCATGCGCAGCAAGTGGTGGAAGCGGCGCGAGCAGCGCGGGTGGTCGCCGCAGTCGGAGCCAGCCTCCCCGCGCCTGGGCGAGCGCCACGCGCGCGACCTGCTGGGCTGCCTGCAGGACCTGGACAACGACGACGACAACGACGACGACGTCGACGTCGACGACAACGACGACGACTTCATCTTGCCCTGCCTCTCGTCGCTCTCAGGTAGCCACAAGTCTTGCCTTCGTTCATGTACGTAGATGAAACATTTTGCGCGATTGATTGATTAGTGTTTCCGGATGCTTCAGCTGCTAAAGTCATTAGTCCCGTAAGCGTGGTGTATGTTTTATCTCGGGAGCTGGTGGGTATTTACTCAGTTGATGGTCGAGATCCGGTGACGTACTACACGGCGGCTTGCGGGATCCCTCACGAACTCCTCCACTAGCGGGGCACAGCCACCTCTATGCTCCCGGCTGGTCTCCCGACTTGAGTGATAGTGTTGTGCATGTAAATGTAAGTAAGTGTGCAAGTGTGTGAGTGTAATTAAGTAAGAAAGAACAGGGCGAGGAAAACAGAAGGAAGAGGAAGGAAAGATCCCGCGCGGTCCGTGGCTTGTTTGATAGTGGACTGCTCCGGCATTCGCTCGGTGTTTATCGAAGAAGAAGAAAACTCGCAAAACTATCGAAACACTGCTCAGCCTTCAATTGATGCCTTCTGCCACCTTAGCAGATCACTCATCTGGTACGAAAAAACACCAGCTTCGTTTTCTAAATAAAACGAATAATTTGTTTTCTAATTTAACTGAGAAACAGTTCATTTTTACACAGTAGTTTTGTAACGATTTCTATTCTCGTAGAATAAATACCAGAAGGTTGCGATTAAAGTTTATCGAAGCATCGATAATTTCTCTATGTGTTGACGAAATAATATACATTTTTCTCGTCTATAAATGACATAAACCGAGACTTTGTGATTTGACGGATTTGGGGGTGCGTATTACGTCAGACCTATGCCCACCAGACAGCCGTAAGAATTGCAGTGCACTCTCTCTTCCTCGTAACGACTGTACAGCTTTCTCTGAGATATGTTAGGTAGAGAAACATGCTGCCTATTTTAGACCACACCTCCGAACACGAGATTCTTCGGACACGAATGATAGGCGTGTTAACTACTATTGTCGTTAGTCCCTTGAGTGAAGTGCATATATTCCGTCATCTATCGGTGTTCCTGGCCGTCTAGAAGTGAGATCCACTGTTGACCTAAACGTTGGCTTGTGGAGGTTTCCCCTCCTGCCTATATCTCCGCCAGATGGGCCAGCTAGAAGCTCCCATCTGGTCTCGCGTGATGTGTGGAAGTATAGTACCCGTGTGTGTGTGTGTGTGTGTGTGTGTGTGTGTGTGTGTGTGTGCGCCTGTGTAAGGGGAGATGAAAGGACAAGAATAAAGAGGTGAAGTCCGCGAGACGATCTTGGACCGTTTGATAATATGCTTGGTATTGATCAGAGAAATTATGAAAAGAATACCCATCAAGGCCGCTAGAATTCTTCTTCAATCAGCAGATGAATTCGATGTAGCTACCTACACATCTAGAGTCACAAACGCCTCCAACATCGGACCTAAAATAGGTCTCTCGGTCAGTTGAGCAACTACAAGTAATTATTTACGGACAACAACTTTCAGTGATTTTCATACCATCTTTCGAAACGTTCAAGCCTGATTCACGGTGTCCGCAGGGAGTAACATCCTCAGCAACAGGAACAGCTTTTTAGCAAGAGAGCAAGAGAAAGCTGGCGGGAGCGGCTGTCGCTGCAGCCACCCGTGCGCGTGCAACAGCGAGGTGCACTGCGCCCCCCAGTGGACGGACGCGTGCGTGGGCAGCGACTTGCCGCTGCGGCGCCATGACGTCACCAAGGACGCCGTCGTGGACGCCGCCAGCCAAGAGGTGCCCTTCCCTACGTACAACTTTTCACCCATTTAATCACGGTGGCACTTGAAAAACACGAGATGGAAAGAGTGTGGGGGGCGGGGAGCCGTTATCATCCACTCGGGAGCTCGAATAGCTGAAATTTAAGTTGTAACGAAGTTTCTGATTCCATGACAGAAAGATATGGCTGGGCTACGCCGGCGCACCGATTTAAGTCGTTCTGCGCAGCACTAGCTGTGGTCACGTGGATCGTGACGCAGACACGGGCACTTTTTTGAATAGCCAGACCAGACGCTAGCCGCTATATTTCATATAGACCGAAAAGTGCTGAGAAACATTTTTGAAAGTAGCATTAAGAGAATTTTCAATGGTGATCAACCAAAGATAACACGGAGATGTACAAGATGCAATATTTAAAATAAATGCTTCATAAATGTGTTTCGATGAGTTGTAAGAAGATGATAATTTTGTTATCTGGTTGCTTTTAAAATTTTCGCTAATATTGTCACGCAAACTGGTGCCCGTTGGTCATTGGCTGAAGTCGGTTTGCAGTTGGCTCACTAGCAAATGACTTCGACACTACTTCTTTCTATACGAGCATCCGACATCGCAGTCCTTTGTTTCCACATCTGTGAAACTGATCCCGTCTTAGAGTAACTTCACTTCACCCGGTGGTGCGCGAGTATTTATCGCCATCATATATTAAGGAGGAAGACGTTCAGTTACTATGCCGATAAACAAATAATACGCGTGGTTAAAATTCGTAAATTGAAGGGAAAGCCAAGTCTTATGGCCAACAAGTCTTATTTGTAATATCAGCCTTGTGCTATAGGTTTCATAATTTTTGTGATACCATCATCTTATAAAAGCAGATAAACAAATAACATTTCTTGGAATAAGTGTACTCATCCACCTTCAAGACTTGTAATATCAAATTCTTTAATATTTTTGGGCTCTTATAAAGCAGTTCTTTTTACATAAATTATTTTTGTCTCCTCAACAAGGCCTTGAAATAAGATTAGAATGGAATCTAATTAATAGAATTTTAGATATATGATTCCTACGTTCTTGAAATTTCGGCTACCTAAAGTCTTATGTAACACAAATATATTTCATAAATAAAACACACTTCCAAAAAGTTTTGTACTGATCATACAATTGAACTTAAAATGAATTTAATTTCACTTAGTGAACAAGTCCAATATCATACATATATCAAAAATCAAACACCAACATACTACTTTTGATTTTCAGATACTCTTGCCTCCTCTTTGGATGACATGCTATTTACCTTGGCTGGTAAGTAAACGTTTCTAGACTTCTAATCAGCGACCATCAAAAGTATTAACCCCTATTACATTTCGTACTTAATATCAAGAATAATAATATTTGCACAATGATCAGATTTAGATTTATTTAGTCAAAAAACAGTAAAAACTGTATGTGACGTGTAAGGGAGAAGATCATCTGCACACGTTTTCTTGATCCCTTCAACCCCTTCCCATCCTTTTAACTATAAATAATTGAAAGAGATTTATATTTAGATTTATTCAGTCAAAAAACAGTAAAAACTGTATGTGACGTAGGGAAGAAAATATTATCTGCGCACGTTTTCTTGAGTTCCAGAATCCCTTCCCGTCATTTTAACTACAAGTAGTTAAAAGATGAGTAAAAGTTTAACGTAAATAAATAAAAATAAATTTTGCACATTCTCTCAGCACCGTCAAATGGGGTAATTTGCATAGACTTGAAAAAATACAGGTTTCACAACTATAATTATTGGGTCAGTTCTTACTTCAGTTGGAAAAACGATGTTTACTTCTTACTCCATTGTTGGAAAAACGATGTATATAGGTGACGATTCCAAACGAAACAGCAAGCTGAGTTCACTTGAAAGAAAGGAAGAAGCCTCTATTAGATTAGCATAATTAAAAGATTGGGTTGATCATCTGAAGTGGTTGTGATCATGTTTTTTATGTAATTTTTCTTCGCTTTTGTAGCATTTTAAAAACATTTTTAGAGCATTTTATTATACATTTTTTGGCAGCGTTTTAGGTGATTAAAATCCACCCCTTAGTAATTACAAAGCACGCCATCCACTACATTTGAAACGCGCTGCCAGAGTTGTGCGTGCGCGAAGGCGGAGTCGGAAGCGCAGGTGCTGCGCAAAGGAATCCTCGACGCCGAAGCCCGGCTGCGGATGAAGAGCCTGGCCAAGTCGGCCATCAAGGCGATGAGCGACGCGAAGATCAAGGCGGAGGCGATGGCGCACGCGATGGCGCAGGCCAAGGCGAAGAAGCTGCTGGCGAAGCTGCGCGCGGAGGAGGAGGCGCGCAAGCAGGCGCAGGCGGAGGCGGCGGCGCAGACGCTGGCGGAGGTGCAGGCGCTGGCCACGGCCCGCGCGCGAGCGCTCGTCGAGGAGAAGCGCAAGGCGGCGCAGGCGGCGCGCGCCAAGGTCATGGCCAAGGTCAGTTACGCTTACCACCTGAGTCACACCGGCGTTGGTTTGACGCGCGTCAAACGCCCGTGTGACTCGGGTCGTTTCTGACGTTTGACGCGCGTCATTTAGCGGCGTCGACGCGAGTCTACGCCTGCGCACACGAGTCACATATCGTAGATTAACACTGTTTCTTAAGGCGGCTCTACACATGCGGCTTTCGGTGGATTCCGGAAAACCGCTCCCGAATCCCAAGTAGTGTGGACGGGTAGCTTCCAATTCGCCGAATGCCGAAGATCCGATATATCGCGTCTCGGTCTTTAGGTCACATCGAAGAGAGCTAATATTCATCGAACACATCAGCTGTACGGGATTGGGCGAGCAGTAGCACGCGAATGTGTGGAGCCGTCTTGACGTGGAACGGCACCCGAGCTCGCTCGGCGGTCTGCTAGCACTAAGGCGCGGCTTCGCCCCCACCAGGTGCGCGGCGAGGAGGCGGCGCGTGCGCGCGCCGAGGAGCAGCGCAAGGCGCGCGCCGCCGCCAGCGTGCGAGAGGCCGTGGCCAAAGCCAAGGCCGAGGCGGCCGCCAAGGCGCGCGCCGACGCCAAGGAGCTGGCCCGCCTGCGGGCCGAGGCCAAGGCACGCGCCAAGGCCAGGAGGGACACCCACCACAACGCCGCCATGGCTGCCCCCAGCCGCCCAGCCCCCGCCGCCCAGGGCCCTCGCCGCCCCGAGGGCAGTGCCTGGGTGCGCTTGGGCGAAGAGGCGGCGCCTCCGGAGGACACCAAGCCCCTCCTAGAAGAAGACGACGACGGCTGGGAGGAAATTGAAGCCATGTGCGTGCCCTGCATTGCGATATCCAAACAGGCGGATGGAGTGCAGAAGGTGACGATAAACAATAAAACAAAAGATGAAGCAGAAACAGCAGGGAAGATATCGACAGATCCCGAATTGGAGACTGAGACGCAGAAGGCGATAGGGGAAAAGGCGGCGACAACGCAAGAGGGGAAAGAGGGGGAGACCACGGCAGACAACAACCCAACACAAGACACGAAACAACTAACGGAAATGGAGAGAGAGGTGTGGGTGCGTATAGGCAACGAGGGAAAAGCGAACTTGCATAAAAAGATGAACATTGCCAAGAAGGTAAAACCTCGGCCCCAGCACGCGAAGCTGTGGAGCAGCGCTCAGCCGAAACCGCGACCCACGCAAGCGAAACCGCGCTCGGCGGTGACGAGACTGCGAACGATGGCGACGCGCACGTCGTCGGGCGCGTCGTCGGACACGGCGGCGGCGGCGGAGGCGGCGCGCCTGGCGCGGGAGCTGGCGGAGGCC